AGTCAATTATTGTCACAGTGTTAAGTCATACATTAGAATAACATTCTTTAAAACGTATGTGTGACACTTGTACAGAATTTCAACCTATTTGGGGAAGTAGGAGAATAAATTAATGCCGTAACCCTCAGGACCTCAAAAACATGATTTCATCTGTAATTTCATCTTTACAGAAGTAATTAAGTTAAAATATTGCTATTAGGTTGACCTCCATCTTGATGTCCTTAAGTATGAAGGAAATTCACACACAGACACACATGCCCCAAGGAAACACAAATGTTAAAAGAGACACACAGAGAGGGGATAGATAAATAGAGACAAGGAGTGGGGAAAATGCAGTCAAGAATTCCAATGAATATCCTATAAATTTAAGAAAAGTGACATAGGGTTGGGTTGAAAGGGGTAACATTCACCAAGATATATTCTATTCATTAGCTGTTTGTTAAATGGCAACTCCTTTGTACAACTACTTAAAGAAAATGAAAACATTGAGAGAGAGACAGAGAGAATCATCTGAAGTGACCAAGCCTCTAAAGAACATACATAAAGACAGATAATCTCAGAACTCCAGGAGTGCTTTAAATCTCTATACCTACAAGTTAAGTTTGCTATCAAATACTTTAAAGGAGCAAAGGTTGGATTATAACTGTAGCATAAAATGCTTAGGTGCCTCAATAATGGACAGGGACAAAGAATCAAATCTGAAAATGAATCAGAAGCAAATTCTAGATCCCACAAGTTTCAAGCCCCAGGAGCAGCATAGAAGAGAAAAGAATGAAAGTACCACCATACAACAACTCTACTGCTGATGACATGTCACAAATTAATCCAGCCTATAATTAAATGATTACCAAGTGGTATCAAACACTATGGAGAAAGTCTGAGGATTCACTCTGGGCCAAGAGCCTAATTAATATTTCTGCCTAATCAATATTATCTGACATGTAGCTCTATGTCTATTTTGGACATCTATTTATCTGAAACAGTCATGAGTTGAACACAGATTTATCTTCACTGAGACATTTGTTAGTTCTTTCTGGTTAGATAAGAATAGATTATATAACATTATATACACTGGTATTCTTTAAGACCATTTTTGACATATGGAAGCTTTTGTTACAAACCATAACTCTGATGCTATAGCTACTAATTTGTACCCACAACTATATGATTGTGGCTTACACCAAAGGCAATTTACATGACACCAATTGGATTAATAGAATTTTATAATCCAGGAAAAAATAAATTATGGTTCTTAGCTACTACTAAGCAAAATGTATTTATCAACTGTATTACTACGCAAATTCAATTCAAAGTCCTGTGTGCATATATCATTGTGATGTACATAAAATAGATTTCTTTTTTGTATGGAAGAAAAATAAGATTAACTTAGGTCAAAAATATGATTAACATGTCACAGCTGATGCTCAAAACCATAAGAAACTCATTGCCAGGTTATGAATCAAAAAGACCACTCAGCCAGATGCTGGTGGCTCATGCCTGTAATCCTAGCTACTTAAGAGGCTAAGATCTAAAGGTGGTGGCTCAAAGTGGTAGAGCACTAGCCTTGAGTGTAAGAGTGTAAGAGTTCAGGGATACTGCTAGGCCCTGAGTTAAGCCCCATGACCAAAAAAAAAAAGTATTACTTTTTTTTATTGTGAAAATACTGTACAGAGGGGTTACAATTACATGGGAAAGATAATGAGTACATTTCTTACCAAGCATTGTAGCCTCCTCCTGTGCTTCCCCTTCTCATCTCTTCCCATCCTCCCCCCGCCCCCCCCCATCCAATCCTTTTCCCTCCTTTCCCCCCACCAAAGTTGTAAAGTTCATTTTCGACATATGACTTGTACATCTCATTGTTGCAATGGATCCACCTGTATCCCTATTTAAACCATTTGTTTTTCTCCTTCCCCTCCACAAATTATAACAGCATCAAATACAGTGAAAGCAGGGGTTATACCGTGGGGGAGGGACATACAACGCAACAAAGAAATAATCTTATAAATGTGTTAGAAACAATCGCATGAAAGAAAAAAAAAACACTCGAATACATATCTAAGGGTTCATTTCCCTAACATCAACTTATCTGACCTTTTCTGCTTGACTCAGACATATACTAGTTATTGTAAATAAGGGAAACCATGGGACCTATGTTTCTTCGGGCCTGGCTTACTTCACTTAACAGAATTTTTTCCAAGTCTTTCCATTTCCTAACAAATGGGGCAATGTCATTCTTTATGAGGGAGGCATAAAATTCCATTGTATATATATACCACATTTTCTTGATCCTTTCATCTACTGAGGGGCATCTGGCTTGGTTCCATATCTTAGCTATGGTAAATAATGCTGCAATAAACATAGTCATGCTGGTTACTTCTATGTAAATGCTGTTTTCTTCAAAATTGAGGGATTAAGAAGAAATAAAAATTAGTCTGATATTATGAATTTAAATCACTCAATGTATAAAAGTACAGTATTTTTTATCTTACTTGACAAACTCAGAATTGAAATGGATTTTGTGGCCATTAAAAATTAATTAATTAATATCTCTTTATAGATGGTTTTTCAAAAACTGTGCTCCCTGGGATTACATATTCTTTGTTTTTCAGTATTCACAACATCTATGAGTAGACTTATAAAGTTTTATGGAGAAGTATCTTTAAAATCTTTCTGATTACAATAAGATTGTTTTGAAGAAGTAAAGAATGAGAAAATAGGATGGGAATATCTCTTCATTATCACAAACCCTTTAATCTCTGCATAAAGTATATTAGTTTCAGAATACTGAATCTTTGTAGATTAAGGTACCTCCTGGCTCGTTTGTAATCATCATAGATAATTATAGTATTACCATGGAGTTCTTTTTCTTGTATAATGAAAGTTCAAAATGCTTTAATAACAATTAAAATTCACAACTGTCAGTATATAACCTAGCCAATATTGAATATGATGTACAGTGCTCAATATATATGTGAACCAATGTAAAACTATATATATGGAATTAATTACAAGTGAGAGGGAGGCCTTATTTTATCTTTGCTACAGATAGGAAAGTAAGAAGTGAAAAATGATATATTTCATATATATTCACATAGAAATCCTATGTCAGAAAAAAATAATAAACTCTCTCTGTTCCCTAAATCACTGTTGAACAGGTAAAGCCCTGTTTTCTCTTTTTGGAGCACTGTTCATTTTCCTGGAAAATACTTGGTGTATTCAAACAATGGTACTGGTAACTAATCTCAAGCCTGATCTTTGAGAAATTCATTTTTAAACTTCAGCCAATTTCACTCTTGTAATTATGGAAGACTCACTAGTTTAATAAACCTACTCTACAGCCCACTGCTCAAAGTCTTTGAAAGCAGATTGGAGCAGAGTGGAGTCCAAAATGCAAAGTATACCAAGCGCATCACCATATCTGTACCAGCAGAAACAGCTCTTAAATTAACAGTAGAGATTTCAGCCACCCAGAACGAGTTGAGTTTCTGTTTAACCACTAGCAAATGGAAACCGCTAGTTCATTTAGGGTTCCTCAGCCAATTCTTGTCTAAGAGCTGGTTCCAATTTCCCTGACCAAAGGAGTTTAAGAATCCAACAAGGAAAGTGAACAGTCAGAAGACATCAGCTCCCTAAGTACAAGTATAAATAAGTTTCCACTGAATGAATTTCAATGTTCTGTTTGTGTAAATTATTGGCTGAGCAATCTGGAACAGATTCAAACATTATGATTAAAGACCTAATATCGGATTTGAGCTCTTCCCAGAAAATACATAAAGTGCAGTGAAGAGCAGTGACTTGGTTCTGTAATTCAGATAAAAAATCTGCTGTAGTTTAAGAGTAACTACAACTATTATTCAAAACTGTAATAAGCATTTATGACAGGTAATTTTCATAGCCAATTTTACATAATAAATATTGTAAAATATTTTATTTTTGTTCCAGAGAATTTGTTTCAGATATGCCACATCAAGGTAATGATTGAGATTGTAATATTTTGTCCTGGCTCATCCGAAGGCAGGCATAACTATTAGGAAAACGTGAGAATGCTTAGAAATATGCTCCTTTGGAATGCGTTTATTTCTACAAGTTTCTTTCATTCTTTTGTTATTCTTTTTAGGGAGTTAGTTATTCAAAGGAGGTGCCATTCAACAAAGCTGGTTATGAATACAATGTGTCTTGATCAGTGTCAACCTTTCCATCATTCGCCTCCATCCCTTATGACTGTACTCTACCCCCTTCCCCAATTCCTGTTTAATATTTTTGTAATTATATGGATTACCCACAGAAAAGTGCTGCCTGTTAGTTAAGCAAGGCAATACTGGTCATGGTTAAGACATTTCTGTTGCAAAGCTGCAGTTGCTGGACTCAGTTCAGTGAAAGGAATGCGATTCATCATGCTGTCATTGTCTGTTTACCCTGAGATGTGGGGAAAAGCTACAAGACACCGCCTTCTTCAGAGAGGTAACACAGTACCTTGACCTTTCTGCACCAAAGACTGTGAGGTCATTACATGGCTTGAGAAATTCATGGTGAAAAAGAAATGAAATCTGGCTCATTAGTCACATAGGAAGAGAGCAAAAATATTGTCGCAATATACCACAAGCCACAAATATTTATCTGTCGAACTATTTAGTTTATAAGAGCCAGTTGTAACTAATTAGAAAATTGTCATAGATGAACTTACTTGGATGCCAATCATTAAAAAGTATACACACACTCATGTATTTGTGCCTGAAAGTAATTGAGGAGTAAATTTACTTGTGAAAATAATAACATTTTTTAAGAAGCCAAACTACTACTAATATTCTTTTATTCTTTCATTTAAAATTACAGAGAAAAATATTCCCTAAAATGAAAGAATAATCAGGGATTCATACATTGTACAAATGATATTTTACCTAGCAAAGGTCAGTCTCAGTTAAAAATATAGCATATATACGACTATATATATGTATATATAATATATACATAATTAAATAAACATAAAATGCAACACTTACCTTTAGTTTGTATTTTCCTTTCAGGTTTCTCTGGCTTTTCAGTCTTTACTTTATGTATTTCTAGAAAAATAAAGAATAATTTTAAAACTTTTTGTTTAAAAATATAAAATTTAAATTAGGCCATAGCTATGACTTTTTAATTCCATCACAAAGTATATGTTTTTGTGTCTAACAAGGTTATTGACATTTGAATCTTTGTTACATGTTGATATATAAAAAACTTATTTATTTAAAATAAGAAAAAAGTTAGGGACACTCCAATAATCAAGTTACCTGTAAAAGCTTAAAACTGTATACTTTCAGCATTAAAATTTTTCACCAACTATAATTATGTTTTATTTCAATTACTCACAATACAAATATGGATGTGATTTCAATTTTAGAAGTCTTAGTTTGAGGTATTAAATGAAGAATTTGTGAAATAAACTGTAACCATTATGTAACAGGAAATACATCTTAGAAGAGTTCACTTAAGCTATGTTTACAATAAGTATTTGGCACTGAATTTAACCAATAATTACTTCAAGTAAATAAGGATACATTTCATAGAAAAAGTTACTTGTGAAATTTTTTCTAAAGCTCAGGTTTAAAAATGTATTTCATTTGCTTCTAGATTCAGTTTACCTGCATTGCAAAGTCTTAGAAAATGGAGTTAAATCTGAATTTGCAATTAATTTTAAATGATAGAAGTATATTTGAATTTAAGGTTTGCAAATGTGATCACTACCTCTGTAAAGTGACTTAATCTTAAAATATCATGTTTCATCTTGGGAAATGTTAATTATTTATTTATCATTACTTTATTCAACAAAAGTTATTAGATGACACAAGTAACTATGTAGGTTTACATTTTTCATTTTAAATTTGAATTTACATTTTTGTAATTTTTCCAGAATCTGCTAAAGGCAAAACCTACATATCTTCAGAAATGAGAACTATTAAGGAGGTAATCACTACTATCAACATTATCTTCCTTAAATTCTCACCATTTACCAATCATTTTAATATCCACAGTTCCACTCATTAACCTTCATATCATCCCTGAATTACAATATGGCAAAAAAATCGCTCATGAAAAAACTTCTCCAAGTTTCAATAGAAGATCTCCAAAGGGCTGTGACAACTTCCAGTCATTCCTTCTTCTCAGTAATAGCTCTAAAATCTGTTGTATGCCAATGTTTCGTGCCTTAGCACTATAAATTCTCAGATCAGTGAACCATTGAGAGATAGATTGAGACTATTATGAGCCTCTTAAGCTATTTAGTAGACTTCCTGGATTCTACCCATCTGATGCTCATAGCCCCCAACTGGACTAACCACATACAATGTGCTTACCGTGCATGAACATCTAGGAATCATGTCATTAGCCAATACAGATTAAGGCAGTGACAAGTGTTAGTAGGCTGCTTATTTTGGAACTCAACTGGAGTTCATTTTGCCTAAAAAGGAATTTGGGGCAATACTTTCAGATCTGTGTGTGTGTGTGTGTGTGTGTGTGTGTGTGTGTGTGTGTGTGTGTGTGTATTTGTATGTGAGTGTGCTCATAATTCTATATATGCTCTTGGATAAGGCTTAAATGGGTAACTATAAGACTGTAATCAGAATAGAAACTAGCAGAGGTCCATTCTGGAATTTGGAAACAAACAAGGGGAGAAAAAAATCTCAGAAAAATTGAATGAAGAACACTGATCTGAATCTATTTCTGTCCCTGAGTGACATGGTTGATCTCAGCATTTGAGAAAGCACTTGAGTAGTCAGCTATGAAGCAGGAGTTCCTGTCACTAGCAGTAAAATAGATGAAAATGGACATTATATGAATTTGGACACAGAATGGCAAACATGTTCTCTATCAAATGAAAACTGTCAGGGCTGATCTTCAAAAGTAAGAGAGTGATAAGGGATTAGGAAAGATACAGTAGGTTAGGAAGAACGGTGACTGGGTATGATCAATATACACTCTAATGTATGCATGGAAATACCACAGTGAACAACATGTAGGAAAGCAGTCTATATTAGTGAACAAAGAGAGTATCACTTAAGGAAAAGGAAGGCAGGGGAGGGTGAATATATTCTTTAAACTCTACCCTAAAAACATGGAAAGGGACTCTAAAGTAGAAGATAAACATTGGTTGGCTGATGTACTTCATCACTTATTAAACACATACACACACACACAAATAAAACGAGTAGAATTAGTTAGAAAAACTGGTAATTTATTTCAGGTAATTTATTTCAGATAATTTATTTTTTCATTGTATAATAAGTAGAATACGGGTAACTCATGTCTGCAGCTCAAACCAAGCATAAGAAATGCATTCCATGATTCAGACTTAAGGAGAAATTAAATAGCTCTGCTGGTTTTCTAGCTCCATCTCATTTTCCTTAGAGATCAGGTTCTATCTCTGGCATTACTTCCTGTGGCTATTAGATGTCAGAAGGAGCCAGTGACCCCCATGCATGGTGTCCCAACTTGTCTCCTTGAAACTTAGCCAGGAAATGATGACCATTCAGGCTCCTGTGCCACTGAATAACAGCATGTTACCAATTTAGACTTGAGACAGACACTGTTCTCATACACAGACCATGTCTAATTTGTTACCTCCGATGAGCCAGCAAAGGATCCTTTGTACAACACTGGATAGTTAACTTTAAATAATTCAGGTCATTTTTTCAAAAGCATTTATTGCCTTTTGGTTTTCAAAAAGTTTCAAAGAGAGGTTACAGGAAACAAACTTTCATATGTGATGGTAATACCAGCACTTAATTGTAATAATTTATCTATGCTTCCTGTAACATGCAAATGATGTGCACAAAGCTGTATTTAAAAAGCACTCTTTACGCGGGACACTGGTGGCTCATGTCTATACTCCTGGCTCCTCAAGAGGCTGAGATCTGAGGATCATGGACCAAAGTCAGCCCAGTCAGGAAAGTCCATGAGACTCTTATCTCCACCTAATCACCAGAGAACCAGATGTAGAGCTATGGCTGAATGGGGTAGAGCGCCAACGTTGAGCAAAAGAGCACAGAGACAGTACTTAAGCCCTGAGTTCAAGCCCCACTACTGACCAAAAAAACTAAAATAAAATAAAATCATGCTTTAAAGAACAGAGTATTTAAACATAAACCAAATCTGAATACAAGTGACAGAGAAAAGGATAGTCCTATGATTTGCCTCCAAATATAGGTGTTTTGGAAATAGAAAAAAGTCAATAGTCAAATGTCTCTGAAAGGTTTGTTAAGTCTCTGCACCTGATGGAATCGAAGCTTTGATTGCAACTGGAAAATACTAAAATATTTTGTGATTTAGAAGGAACAGAGATAAAAGTATTTCAATCCAGATGTGCAAGTAGCCCTAAATCTCAATGTGTTAGGTAACAATCCCTTTGTCACGCTGTAACACTGGTAGTCTTGCCATGTTATACAAATCACTAACAGAGAAAAAAGCGAGGTCTTTCCACAGAATGAGGCAACATTTTCCAGTTTCTTTTACTATGTCTTATTTACTAATGTTTTTAACATGGCTTATAAAGAGAGAACTGGAGAAAACATTAGGTGTCTCCTTTTATATTCTTATTCATTTCTCACTCTAAAGTAAAAACTTGAAGTTACCAGAAAAAAGTTATGTAGCTAACTTTTAGAAATATCTATAGCTTTCCTTCACTTAAGGAATCAAATAATTTAAACTTAATTTCTATCTTTTAGTATTCACTGGAGATAATGAAATATACTCAGACTGGATTTTTAAGTTTAATGTCAATCAATATGAGAGATTTTGAGCTTATAGAAAACAAAGAAGATATAATGATTTATTAGAGCTTGAGAATAACTAAAATTTGTTTTTGTGATTACTCATTTCTAGATGACAGTGATTTGCTTTAATTTCCATTTGAAAGATGTCATAAATCTATTACATTTATAAATCTATTCTATTCTAATATAAATTACCGTCTTTTTGAGAGGGGAAGTACTAAGGTTTGAACTCAAGGCCTTGAACTTACTTAAGTGGTAGATATTCTACCACTTAAGCTATGCCCTCAGCAGTTTATAGTCTGGTTATTTTTCAGATAGCGTCTTTCTTTTTGCCTGCACAGATGTGGACCACAGTTCTCCTCTTTACCTTCCCATCATTGTGGGATGACCAGTGTCATCATCAATTTAAGGTAAGTTTTATAAACCATCATCCCCTGGCTTGCTTTGAATTGCTATCTTAGTGTTCTCCAGTATTACACACATAAGCAGCTAGTGCCTACAAATATGATCTACTCTGACAGCAAAATAAAGACTGGCATGATTTTTATAAGATCTATATAAAATATTGCCATTTCTAATATTTATTGTTAAAGGTAATTAACTAGCACTGGAGACACTGTGGCCACTCCAAACCTCAGCCCCATTACCAGCTGTGTGAATTTCTTTTCTTCATCCATAAAATGATAATAATAAGCACCCACCTCATAAGTTTACTTTAGGATTAAAATAAGTCAAATGTAGAGAATCTCTGGAATGTCAAGTACCACGTGGACATTGGCTGTTATCTTGCTGTTACTTGTACTTCTCAGTAAGTAGAAACTTTGACAATGCCAAGATTAATGTCTATTTTGCTCCACACTAAAGTTTAATACCATACAGGATGATTGGCAAAGAATAACTACCTGGTTACCAACTTGAAATAAATCACTATTTGATCACACTTAAAAGAAAAAGGTTTAGGAGAAAAAGGTGGATTATTTCTTACCTGCTCTTTATGGTACAACTCTACATGTCTACTAAATTGATTGAAGATGATTTGTAGGGCTATAGATGAAGTTTATTGGTATTGAGCCCTTGCCTAGCATAAAAGAGGGCCTAAGTTTGATCCCCAGAAGTACAGAAAGTAAATACTTGTTTTACCTATATGAAATGGAGGGAGACGTTGAAGAATTTTCTATTTAGTGAAATAATATAAATGTCTGAAAGGTATTTTGAAACCACAAAATTTATTCAAAAGTTTTTCATATTTCCTTTTTCTGCAACACTGAGAAAGAAGCTAAATGATGGTCAACTTGAGGACAGCATGAATA